TGATGCCGTCTTTGCAGTGTGTTAGGGCTCCCAATAGGAAGAGCAGTGTTGTCTGCCATTAAGCAAAACTTTTGTCGGCATCGATAAAGAATTATTTGGCAAAATCTAAGGCAGACTAGAAGCACATAACCCTTTTCCTATTGAGCACAGCTTTTCTCAGTTTCTCAGCTTTTGTGTAAATTTCAGCCTCCTACAACTTGAAAATATGACCGGGTCCCGTCGAGTGAGCTGCAACCTGGGAGTTAGTGTCTTTTCTCCCCACCGCTGCTGTGCGCTGGGCCATTCGCATCCGGAGTAATCTCCCGGTTTCTGCAACGTAGTTGCTTTGTTCACAACTGCACCAGATCCGGTAAATGATTCCAGCCGTTTCCTGCCGCGACAGTTGGTCTTTCGGCCTCATTATCCGGCACCTGATGATTGCTTCTGGCCTGTGGGCAACTCGAACTCCAAGCGGGATGAGAAGGCGGCTGACTGTTTTCGATACATTCTCCAAGTATGAAAGAATTCGCCAAACTGTTAGGTCGATTGAATCTGGTTTCTTTTCGCGTCTGGGTATGCACTGGTTGAAAAAATTGTGCCGGTAATCATTTAATCTCAGTTGCCGTCGAAGATATTGTAATTCAGTAACTGTGTCTTCCACATCGGTGCAATGCATTTCAACGTGCCGGTATAGCACTCTTACCCAGCCGCATTTGTGATTAATCGGGTGGTTGCTTTATAAGTTCAGGGCTTGCATAGTGTTGGTCGTTATCCTGAGCACTTAAGTTTTTTAGGCCACCACCGCCTCTGCGGAAAACGACATACAGAAAGACTGGCTAATTGTTTCCTTCTTTGTCCACCGTTAATTGAATTTTCATGACGAAGGCGTTTAGACATTCTTTAAATGTCAACATCTGATCCCGCTCGATTACGACGAAGGAGTAGTTCAATAACCGAGCCCAGAACTTCGGTCTGTGCTGTCTGAAGACCAGTCGAGTATGCATTGAGAAGGAACTTTAAG